AACGATGTTAGTTGAGGAATTCATGGAACAGCAGCAGCTAAAATTGCTAGCACTTCATTGGAAAGAAAAATATTGGCACATCCAAGATGTTAACATTCCACACTACTTCGAATAAAACATTCTGAAGAAAACCCCATCAGTAAAGAAAAGAATGATAACAGACAGATAAGAGAATGGTAAGTGGACTTGAGAAAGCTATCTTCCTGGAAAAAAATGCTTCAAAATATGGACTTTATAAATTTTAACCGAAAACAATACCGGCGGTTTGGTAAATAAATGCCAAAAGTTTTCTTGTAGGGAAACGGTTAATATTACTATTACCATTATTATTTTGGATTAAGGAAGAATTATTTCCTTTAAGAAATGAGATAATTATGTTAAAAAAGAGAAAAGACGAAGTTATTGGACATGGACTTTGAAAGAACATTGAAGCATGTTGTCTGAAAGAATTCAAAATCCAAACTTTTAACAGAATCAAATAACATGAAAGCGGTGTGGTGACGTTTGGTGATGCCTGAAGAAGGCCGGAGCGTACAACGGCTGAAACGTTGTGCAAAAACATGGCGACAATGATGAGGACAAAAGTCCGAATAATTTAAATAGTCTACGAGGTTAAGTCAAAAATTACCCGCACTTTCGCCAAAACATATTAGGTTTGTTTCACTGCTTTCTACTCGTGCGTGCTTATAGTCGCTACTATTGTAGTCACGTGATCGATGTTTGAGCTTGGTCACGCCTGTTTTCTTCCTGCTGTCACAGTGTAAACAAAGGTGAGTCAGGGGCTGGAATTCATCGGAGGCTTGTAACACAAGCAGTAGATCGAGAAGCTGAATATTGTCCGGACAATTGTGACACACGAATAATTCTGATTCGAGGGTAATCGCTTCACAGCAACGTGCGAGACATATATCTTACATATTTATAAGTCTACCATCCGTCCATGGTTTATTTCTGTTACATCTGGTCTGGTGTTTCTACTATGTATCTCGAGATTCTTGATAAAATGCAAAGAAGCATCTGCAATGTCATTGGTCCTGACCTGGCATCTCGGCTTCACCCTGTTTCGCACTGCCGTGATGTAACTTCCTTGTCCCTTTTCTATAAATACATTCAGGGTAATTGTTCTGATGAACTTTTCCTCTATGTTATCTAGACGTTATGAATTTAAGTGCAGAATTAGATTGGCGGATAGGTCTCATCATTTTATTGTTGAAATGGCTGGATGTTACTGCAACTTCTATGCTAATAGTTTCTTTTGTCACACTTCTCATTTGTGGAACTCTCTTCCGTTTTACTCTTCCCCATTCAACTTCGAAATTTAAATGCAATGCCAATAATTGTATTTTGTCTTTTTAATTCGTGTCCTTTCATTGTTCTATCACATTAATAGTATTTTTTCTCTTCTTCTGTAACATTCAGTAACCACACGCGTCTTAGTGGCTTTATTGCCATGCTTAGAGTTATATAATTAAAAATGCATCAATTTACGTATGTGGTACCCAGTGAGGATCAAACTCACTGTTCAATCGCGATTGATCTAGCCAGGCAAGCTTGCTAGCCATGACACCACGTCAAAGTGTCCATAAATTATGTTCTAATCTTAACTTCGAATAGGTCGAAAGTATGTGGCACCCAGTGAGGAACTGTTCAGTCGTGATTTGCTAACCATGACACCATGTTTTCAGGAGTAATGAATAGTTTTCCTCTCATCCTATACCCACGTCTTGATGGTTTTCCCGACGAAGGACGTTTACATCAACTTGTTAATAATAATCTAAATTAACCTCTTTATGAGTGTTCGAATAAAAGCAAGTGGCCCGAAAGTGACGAAGTTTGGTGTTAACGTTCAAATGTTAAATACATTTGCGAAATGGAATATCGGCGAAATAGACGTTGGCTCAATACAACTTGAATACGCGATTTATTGGGGCTTCTTCGCGTCGGCGTCGTTCCTCATACAAACGATGTCAGCGATTTTGGATCAATACAGAATTCTGAAATACGACGAAAATATAAAGGCGTTTGAAAACTCTGCCATAAAAAGTTTAAAGGGCTTGCCTTGTCGCACACACAATTCCGTAAAACACTTGCTGAAGAAAGGTACAGATAATCCTATCGGATAAAAAACTAAAAAGCCGCAGGGATGAAACTCAACCTAAACAAAAAGAGGGATTACCGTTCGCAAATATTCTTAAATGTCATAATTGGGAGGAAGACGACAGTTTTGCATGGGGGCCGCGAGCGGAGTAAGTCTACGCACTTACAATGACTGTATCCGAGAGAGAAGCGAATGGTTGATCCCCCCTTAGAGCAAGCTTTCGACAGTAACAATGGATGAATGCTATATGTTTCAAAAAGGCAAATACTTATGTCGCCATAGTCTGTCTGACATCGCATTACTTTCAATTCCAGAATGAGGAGAGTCGACTCAATCATTTCAATTTGGGATTGATTTCAAATAAAATAATTATTATCATTATTTAATATATCAATATATATATATATATATATATATATATATATATATATATATATATATATATGGAAGATGAAAAAATATAGTTAGCTCAACATGAGAACAAAAAGTGTATATGGGGAAAAAAGAAAGTAACCAAGAACATTTTTTGGTTATAATGTGGATTTTAAAAAAAATTATATTATACCTTATTTTTTCCATATTTTTTTGCTTATTTGTTTTATTATTACGCGACCTTCATCAGGTAAAGACAGGATATTTCCACATATTATTAAACGGAATTAATTTTCCTTGTGTTTTTCGATGTTTGACCGTTGTCTTTTTTTAGGTTGTAGTAACCCAAATGTTTTTTCGACAGAGCTATGGGCATCTTTTTAAAACCCTTTTTCTCGAGAACATATTGGACCAGTCCATGAAAACACATACACACATATACACACATATACACACACACAAACACAAACGACAATTATTTTATATATATATATATATATATATATATATATAAGATGCGATGTTTGAATTGTCGTTAAAAATTTACCACAAAATGTAAAAATAACACTGGTAATCTCATTTAATAGATATATTTACTAAAATTATTTGTATCAAAAATATCTTGAAAAAGGTTAAATATAAATTATATATTAATAAAATCTCCATGGCCTCCAGGCGATTTCCGAATCTGTACGCATCTCTTTTGGACAGTTTTTAAAGTTATTGTATAACTTACTGCTATAATTAATTGCCTCAGTTCAATTTTGATATCTTATCCGGGGAAAGGAGGCTTGTTGGTTTCTCATTCAGAAGCGCCCCAGGGGTGTAATAATAAGTAAACGGGTTTTTGCCGTCTGTTGAGTTAGATTTAAACTTAGATATAAGAGGTGATATGGTCACCGAGATTGTCTAGCAGCCATGACCAGGTTCTCCACCTTGTGTAGCATGATGTAGAGTCCTGTTATATATATGTAGGATCATCCAGCATATATATCTTGACCTAGGGAACCACATACCTGCTCAAATCATTCTTGATATAGAATTTTTTTCCATGTTGAGTTTGAGTCATTAGTTTGTAAATTGAATGGAAATAGTTAACGTTGCCATCAATAGTGATTTTTCTTCTAAACATATTTCTTAATCAAAATTAGTTTCGAGAATCCAACTTTTTCCAAATCCTTTGCACTGTCCTCATATTGACACCCAAACACTTTGAATGTTATTTGGTGTTTTAATTTCCGGAGCGAATGCCAAGCAGTGTCAGCATGCTGTTTCCAAATTCACTGGCAGAGAGGATGTAAATATTAGATGGTTTGCCGTGAATCCTTAGATTTCGTCATACAGACTAAGTTGATGGAAACTGATAGTGAAAACAATATAAATTTATTATAGTTCTAAATTTTCTGCTAGACCACGGAGATGGATAATTATTTTAACCCAAACTCCCCACACATCATATGCATAAAAACCAGAGTATTTTTATTTTTGGACAAAACAAAGATCTGATTGTATTGAACCATGCAGAAACAAAAAAAAAAATGTTTCTCCAAGTGGTTTGGAGTTAATACAATAAAAATGGAATTTCCCAGTGAGGAATTTTGGGTCTTATTCTATTCAATGCATATTCAATTTAAATTATAGTAACAAAATGCCTAAAAAAAAAAAAAAAAATTTTAGAAAATTTTTGAGTTTTCATTAAAAGAGTTTATAGGTTAAAATCGTCGTTATTTTTTTTATTATCACTGTTGCAGTTTTTGTGTATAATATGTAAATAAATGAGCCAATCCAAACCTTGAATTAGTTTATATTACCAATAGAAGGTTAACCAATCAGAAGACGTAGAATATTCAATCCGTCGTGTATAAAGGCGGCCATTTTGTTTACCCTACCCGAATGTCCAGTGCCAGCTTGTCAGGCGAAGAGAAACAGAAGGATGAACTATGCTCTGCTACTTTTACCAAAATATCCACTGCTAACCTGAACAACGCTTTCCTACTGTCTTCGAAATATTCACTGCTAACCTCTGGATTCTATACTCGAAGACGACCGTCATCATGAATAACAATCACTATGTAAGTTAACTCAAATACATACGAGGTCACAAAGTCTATAAGTAGCTACAGCTATTACCCATGAGACAGTTGAGTTCATACTACTTCCTGTGTGTCAGTAACATATCACAACACTATACTTAAGATGCTCTATCATCCTCCATACAGTATTAACGAAAATGCAGTAACATGTTTTCTGGAACGGAAAAATTACAAAATGTACGTAGAAAAGCATACTGCCAATCACGCTCAAATTGGGTGGGGTGATTAACAAAATTAATTAATTAAAGAAGTTGACCCCAAAGTTTTGCACGTCAGTGTTTTGATTTTCATTCTGTATAAAGATAATAAAATAAAAAAAATTAAATTAAACGTTATTAAATAATTTGGTAAATTCTTTATAATAAGTATTCATGTAAGACAATAAAGATGGGATTGGAAAACGAATTTATTTTTTATAAAACTGTGTAATAATGCAAATGACAATGTTTACTCTGGATTTACTACCATATTCTCTCAAAGTCGTGGTCGGCATCTGTCCATCTCGAGCCTGGGTGGGATATATGGAGAACTAGGGCTGCCCAGACGTCTAGTTCTCCCCCTCTCGGCCTTGCTAGCAGAGTCCAAAGGAGAGAATACACCGTTACAGTTTGTTACCAGCGCGGCTGCAGGAGTTGCCGGAAGGTAGCACAAAGTGCCGTCCATCCGCCTTAGGGGCTGCACTGCGGGTTTGAATTCAGAGTTGTCCTTCTCCTCGACCAGTTGCCATCCAAGGCTATAGAACCCAGTCTGTCCTGCTATTTACCCATAGCAGGAGGGAGAAGAAGAGGATTCATACCTTTTCCAAGGGTATTAGCACGTAAGTGAATCTAATAGATTCGACTTTCCTCAATCCATTACTCCACCGTGCCTCCTTCCTATCTATCTATCTATCTATCTATCTATCTATCTATCTATCTATCTGAGAGTCTTTTGAACTCTATCCATACCGGAAAGTGAGGTATGGGCAACTCCCTACCAAATATGGAAACAGTACTCCATTTTCGGCCTCATCTGGCTCTTATTAAGGTAGAGGATAGCATGAGGAACCAGGAACTTACTGGTGCAGTACAGGGAACCGATCATTTTTACCTGCATCTTTAGTGAATTATCGTATATATAACCACATATATATATACATATATTTAATATATATATATATATATATATATATATATATATATAGCTAAATAAGTAAGTGAATGTAATAATCAAAGTAAAAGGTGAAATATCAGCAAAGAAATAAATACATAAATAAAAACATGTTCCACAGATAAATGACACGATATGAAAAAACACACATGTCATTACTATTACGCGCGCACACGCACGCACGCACACACACACACACACACATATATATATATATATAACCGCCATAATAGAATACCCACAATGCACCACTAACCCGTATATATATATAAATAGCCGAGAAAAATAACAGCATGTGGCCTGACGATTGCATATAGTATGAAACAGACTGTCGCCTCTAAGTGTTGACTTCTATGTTCACTTTTATATTTATACACGCTCTATCTCTGATATTGAGCACTTTATTCCATAAATATAGCACACCTTAAGACTATATTTCTTTATATATATATATATATATATATTATCTTCATGTTCAGAACTAAGAGGTTATGACAATAAACTACATCTGCGTCCTGGGTAAGGCGATAAACTATGTCCGATAGCAAGGCCTCTGATCAGGTGGTTTTGAGGAGCATAGAACTACTCTACTACTAATTGCTGGTGTTCCTAGGTTCACCCTGACCAGGGATGGTAGCACCTGTTAGGGTCCCATCTATGGGCAAATAGTTAAACCCTAAACTGAAATCAAAAGACTATGAAAGAGTAAATATAGGTTTTAATACCAGAAATATATTGTAAAAAAAATATTACCAGCGATACATTGTTATCAGCAATAATTTCTTAAAAAAAAATATTACCAGAAATATTTTTGAAAAACAAATTATCAGCAATAAAAATTTTGTCGGGATTAAATAAAACATTGAGGTTGATTGGCCTTAAACCAAACCAACATAACCAAACAAGTACTACGGTAGTCAAAGTTATATTTCTAATTCCGACAGTCTGTACACCGGGGTTGATCAAGATTGTCGTAGTTTTCGTCAGTTGAAACAGATCTATCCAGACCATATGAAGTAATTTTGGATTCTTTTGTGTAATACCATATATATATATATATATAGATAGATAGATAAGTATGTATATATTTAGACACATATATATACAGATAAGTATATATATATATATATATATATATATATATATAAAAAAATTTCTCCGATTTAATCGGTAGAGAAGACAATGATTTATGAATAAAAATGACAATAGGAAAACTGGTCCAATTGTTTCGTCCAATGTGGACTTTATACGAAAAAAAAAAAAAATTTGTTTTGATAAAGTCCACATTGGACGAAACGCGTCAGCAATTACCAGTTTTCAAATATTGTCATTTTTATTCATAAATATATATATATATATATATATATATATATATATATATATATATATATATATATATATATACATACATACATACATACACCTATGTACACACAGACGTACACAAATATATATTAATATAGGAATATATTTATCTATATGTATTCAAACGCGAATATACATATATAATTATCTATACATAATCAGACGAGCTATAAATATATATATATATATATATATATATATATATATATATATATATATCAATTTGTGTGTGAGTGTGTGCATTTATACATGCTCGTCTGATTATATATAGATTATTATATATATAAACAGATTTTCATGTAAGGCACACACACACACACACACATATATATATATCAATAGCGTATATATATATATATATATATATATATATATATATATATATATTGCCTGAATATATATATATATATATATATATATGTAATATATATATAAATCTCTTTATATATTTATTTATATGCATATATAGGTACATATATTTATATATATATATATATATATGTGTGTGTGTGTGTGTGTGTATGACTCTATAAAAAAATACATATATACTTATCTATACTATAAGTATTCAGATGCGCATGTAAACATACAAATTTACCAATCTGAACCGAAAAAAAATATTCTCTTAAAATGAGAATTCAATCAGTCATGTGACCTTTTGCAATTTTTTTCCCCATAATTCGCGATTTTACTTTTTATTGAAATTTTACTTGCGTTTTTTGTACAGCCCGCGGCTCCCATTTTGAAATAACTTATTACATTTGAATGTCGGCTATATCCGATGGCAGGATCTCTTCAGCGTTCATGGACGATTTACTGCGACGTTTGCAGCCCGCGAAAACAAATGACCTTTTGCAATACCTCCAGCTAACAACCGACAAATATGTGTGTGTGTGTGTGTGTGTGTTTCAAGGGGAATGAAAATATACTCTTTCTATGAAACGAACTACAAAAATACGCTTTACTTGTTTTTTTTTTCTTTTTCTTTTTCCCCATTTATTCTTTGTCTTCATAGAATTTTAGTTTTCTTTTTAATTTTCTTTTTAGTAAACCTCCTTCTCCGTGGGAGATCGGCCTTTGATTGAATCTGCTTCAGAATTGAAGATGGTGAACAGTTTTATGGTTCAAATTCAATAATTTTCTAGCGACAAATGTCGGCCGGAAGGCCGGTGATAGCAAAGAATTCGGAGGATATTCGTCACGTTATAAAATCAACCAGGGTAAAACTGTATATATCTCCTTTAGATTACGTTCGGCTCCTAATGCTGTTATTATTATTATTGCTTTATTGCCTTTGGTTTCTGGTGTATAATCATTTCTTACCGGGTCCCAACCAGAGACCTAAGGTCAGAAATGATATCATGACATTTTCGAAGGAGCAGTTTAAAAAAAAAAATCGTTCAATTTTACATAGATAAAGCCCATCGTAAGGTGTTGGCTGTACTTGTGAGTACAATCTTTTGTATTTATTAAAGGTATGGGCTACCAGGAATTCCTTCAATGAGTCTATTGGAATCTTTTCCAATCACTCCGAGGGTTCCAACTACAACAAGAATTGTCGATGTCTTCATGTGCCATATTTCTGAGATTTTGATTTTAAGGTCCTTGTATTTTGATAGATTTTTTGAAGATCTTCAAAGATACATTACAGTTTAAAGAGACTGTCTTATCAATCAGGAGACATATTTTGTCTTTGAGGTTTCTAATCAATATATCTGAACGATTAGTTTTTGTTGTTCTGTCTGTGTGTATAGTGAAGTCCCATTAAATTATTACAGATCCTATCTCCGTCGACTAGTCTGGATGGTGTTCATACCAATTTATTTCTGTTTCCTTCGCCTGGAAGTTGCAGATTTTCCTCTGCAGATATTGGTCATACCATGTTTTATATTCAGTGGGTGCCAATACCGCGCTAACTGATGATACAAGATGGTCTTCACGTTCTCCTTAACCGGGACTTCAACTTACACTCTTTGGGTCCTGTCACTGAATCTAACCAACGCCTTTATCCACTGTGCCATGTGTCCTTGAGGACATCTGGGTATGAATTTCTGGGTATTATAAACCTAATGTCTTCAGCAACATTTTTTTACCAGTGTTCATATTGCAAAGATGAGTACAATAGTCCGAATAATGTAAATAGTGTACATAATACGTCATCTCGGAAATATAGACAGGTACTGAAAGGCCGAAACGTTGTAATAAATATGGCGACAAAGATGAGGACAATAGTCCGAATAATGTAAATAGTGTACATAATACGTCATCTCGGAAATATAGACAGATACTGAAAGGCCGAAACGTTGTAATAAATATGGCGACAAAAATGAGGACAATTGTCCGAATAATGTAAATAGTGTACATAATACGTCATCTCGGAAATATAGACAGATACTGAAAGGCCGAAACGTTGTAATAAATATGGCGACAAAGATGAGGACAATAGTCCGAATAATGTAAATAGTGTACATAATACCTCATCTCGGAAATATAGACAGATACTTTCCTCAGCTTTCTGACAAAATCGAAATTTAGTATATGTCTTTTCCCTTTCAGCGTCTCCGAGTGAGTAACAAATTATTCTCCACACTTCAACCTTTCTGGCGGGATGTAGCAAGCCCCCAACCCCGCCCGCTGCTCTACCCCTATTTCCAGGGAAAGTGCTGGGACGAACAAAATTCCCTGGCCCCTCCGAGTTAAACCTCATGATAAGAACACGCCATGCCACTTACATAGTAGCAAGGCATTCATATTCTCTCGGTATTCCCTCGGTGAGAAGTAAGTTCCATTCGAACAGCTTCTTTTCGTGAGCCACTTCCCTGCGAAATCAAGGCTACGGTTAACTGTTATCTTCCACTCCACTACCCACAAATGGCCTCTTAACGTAAACGTCTACCTCGAGTGAACCCCAGGCCTTATAAAGGGTGAATCTTACATATACCCCTCCTGTTAGCCTCTGATTTTAGAAGAGCTAGATCAAGCGACAAATAAAGTATTGCTGTTATATTTGGGCGAGAGCTGCCCAGACCTCACTCTTGACTGAACCCCCAAACGTCTCTGAATCCTTGTGGGTGACGGATTATTCGCCACCTTTCAATCCCTTTCCCAGAGGCGGAATGTTGCAACGCCCTTCCCCTGATGCTTTACCGTTACTTCCATGGAATGTGCTGGAACGAACTAAATTCCCTGGTTCCACCGAGTTATACCTTCACGGAAGGAACACGCCATGCCACTTACATAGTAGCAAGCCACCCATATTCCCTCGGTGAGAAGTAAGTTCCACTCGAACAGCTTCTTCTCGTAAGCCACTGACATGTGGACTCTACTTTCAACAGGTTGTTTCTCTGATGACTACAATCTTAACCTATACACAAAAATTATCTCATAAACTTAACTCTCTAATTTGAGCGGCTTAACTCTCTAATTTGTGTGGCTTAAC